CAAAATTTCAAGAAATTCAAAAGTTGAAGATACCAAGAAATCAAATCAAATAAGGTGGTGAATTCAAAGAAATCAAAGATCAAATTGTTAAGGAAGTGAAGAATTCCTAAAGAGCTCCGTAGTGGTATCAATGATTGTAATTCTAGATTATGTATGCTTAGGTTGCTCAACTAAAAATACCTTGAGGATAAGGATGTTTTCTGCGGATGGATTCGGAGGGTTGCATAAAATGAGCATTGTTCGGAAAAAGTGGGCGAGTGTTTATGAAGATTGTGAGTATTTAAAGTATGGGGGGGGGGTACTTAGGTAAATTTTAGACACAAATGCATGCGTTGAGGTCTCGGCATAATGGCTGAACTAGAGTCGGATTGTTCTGTGTGGTATTAGTAATTAAGAATTAAGTTTGAATTTGCTTGGGGGCAAGCAAAGCCTAAGTGTGGGGTATTTGATATTGCCATATTTATACTTATTTTTAGGCAATATTTAAGTACATTTTTATTAATAAATTGATAATATGTTTAGAATAATGATACTTATGAGTTTAAATTGTTATTTTCAGTCAATATAAAGGATTTTCGAAGAGAGGGACCAAAGGTGACAAAATGGGGAACATGGGAGGCTTGAAAGACAAGAAAATAGTAGATTCACGATAAGTGCTCAATTCACGACGTGGTGATGAAGCCCACGACGTGGCACGGGTGTTCCAGTAGATAAACATCGCGACGCGGAGGATTTTCTTGGAGGATACATATTGCTTGAAGCCCACGACGTGGCACGGCTCTGGCCACGATGTGGCGTGGTTTTTTAAGGATTATATAAGTCCTCCTGATTATTACGAAAGGAGAGTTTTTTGGCAGAAGAAAAAGAGTTCCAGGAGACGTTTCAGAGCAAAAGAAAGGTCCTGGAAGAGGGATTTCAACACCAAAAGAAGTAAAGGTTTATATTTTAGTTAATTATGAACGTGTCTTTCATTAGTTTTAGCTGTGTTAGTTTAATTACTATGATGAGCAGCTGAATCTAGCTACTCTTGCTTAGCTAGATGAAGCTTTGAACTTACGAATAGTTATATGTTTATGGATTAATTTGAGTTGGTTAAAATTGCTTGTGTTTGAATTGTATGACCTAGCATGTTATTATTTGTTTATCTAATTGCTTGATTGCATGTTCTGTGTAGCTTAGTGACCATGAAACTGCATGAACCTGTTTACCTAATAATTTAGTGAACATTGAATTGTTAGAGCTAGGATTGACCAATCTTAGTTAGTAATTAGACTAAATAAATCTTAGTTGTGCTAGAGAACGTGAATTGTAACCATAATTGCGTTTATACAACAAATCTTACATAGCATATTTACATTCATAATTAGTTCTGTGTTTAATTATGTGTGAACATACATGGTTTGACATGAATTAGTTACTTATTGGTAAGATAGAACTAAATTACTAATATAACTAAAAAACCAACTTAATAATCCGTGATCATTAGCTAGCCATAAGGGAGAAGTGGATTCAACTAAGCGAGAGAGTATTCTTATTTATTGAATTTGATTTAAGTTCATCTGATCTTGTAAAACCAGATAAAAACCCTTATTAAACTTGTTAATAAATTAGGTTAATTTAATACTGTAATCTGACTAGGTACACTGCCTATAAGTGCATAGTTAGTCTAAGTTTGTTAGGTTATAAATATTAAAATTAGTGGGTACTTTTGTGCACATCATATGTAATGCTATGATTGATTATTTGCTGAAAAACATTTTCTATCCGTATGTTCGAAGTGACTCGACGAGTCACTTCATGGACTCGGTGAGTCAACCCAACCCGGCGAGTCCAGTCAGTGACTTGGTGAGTCGGAGCGTAAGACAGACGGATTTTCAGATTTTCTTGCTGTTTTGCTGAAGGATAATTGCCTTATATGTATTTAACTGATAATATTCGAATTTTATTGTTATTGAAAGATTATCCTTGCCAAAACACAAGATAATTACCAATTGATTAGATAATAAATTCCTTATATGATTAAAATTGATTATTTGAATTAATTGGGTAACTTATTTTGCAAAAAATTGAATTAGGTCAAATATATATAATCACTAAATTAATTGTTTGTTTTATATTATTTTTTATTTGATCCCTTGTGTTTTGAAAAGTTCAAAACTTGCCCTTAAGTTTTGAAATTTAAATTCTTTGATTAAAAGTTTAATTACTGAAAAGTTTTAAATTTCAACCCTTAGATTTTTACAAGTTTAAAATCAACCTTATACTTTATTTATTATAAGATTAATACATACATACATATATATATATATATATATATATATATATATATATATATATATATATACATATATATATATATATATATATATATATATATATATATATATATTTACTATCTTATAAAAGAAATCTAACTATTTCTAAAAATAGATTGATTATAATAATAATATTTTTTTAAGACATCCAAATGATGAAGCTGATAGTAAAAGTAATCATTAATAAAATAATATTAAATTTTAACCATATTTTGAATTCAAATATTTATCATCAAATCTCCTTATATTTCTCAACAATTTGATATGGTTTCCTCAAATCTCGGATTCATTCAAATTTTGAACCCTTTTAGATATCCTTAAATTTAGCATGTTGATTCAAATATCCTTCCAATCGCATATACCTCTTTGCTCCCTCCTCTACTATAAAGTCCACCGTCCAGGAACAAAAAATGACTTCATTTCCCAAATAACACCATAGTTTGATTATTTTGTCTTCAACATGTACTTTATTTTGTAACATAACATTTTTTTAGAGGAAACATATCACTAAAAGAATTTACACGCCCCGCCGCTTTGCGCGGGTGCACTGCTAGTATATATATATATATATATATGTATGTATGTATGTATATATGTATATATATGTATGTATGTATATATATATATATATATATATATATATGTATGTATGTATGTATGTATAAGAATAAGCTAGTCTTATCGCTAGTATACCTCATTCACGAAGCCGATCTATAAGGTGGGTATAAGTTTGCTGCCTATAAAATGGCGCTTAATGGGTGTACACTCAAACCCACTGCTTACTTGATTGGTGGAGGGTCGTTATCCAAACGGATATGATAGAGCACTTAATACCTCATTATAACTATAATGAATATTGCAAAGTAACTAACATGTTATTACAAATTCCCAATCTTAGTTACTTTAGGGTAAAATGTGAAAATGATGCTATTCCATGGAATTACACTTTGTACCATTGTCAAGCGTTAGTGGAGCGTGCGTGGTTAACTGACACACTAATTTGGGATTGACGTTGGTGGCAAAGGGTGGCTCGATGTTTGTCATAGATCAATGGAGCGTGCGTGGCTAACCGACACATTGATTAGGTGATAGAGACATTGAGTGCACCATGTTGATTCGCATGGTTATTCACAACTTGTTTGAGATCCTCGACATCCCAGTCGCAAATTTGAAGTGCATATCGAGATTTAAACATGCCATTGAAAAGTTCAATGAAGCTCAAAGATCTAGGAGTTTTCAAATACATTTAAAACTTAATCCCTTTTACGTTTTTCATGGTGAAAATTAGTGAATCGTCATTCACTTACCTTCAAATTATTTACTTTTAGAGTACGACATCCCTTTCTAAGTTGTAAATAATGTTGTTGGATCCTAGCCCTAATTTCTCATTTGGGTGGTTAATTGGGGATTCAATTCTGATCAAACATTTTTCCTTTCTATTTTCAGATGTCTAACACAAACGCAAACAACACTGCTCCTGGTTCATTCTCGCTAATGAGCCTATATCAAAAAGAAGAAGCCAACATTGTTGCGATTGGAGGCATCATTACGAACGATGGTATCATTGCGATTTGACGTGCTGCTGCGATCAGGTCTGTAACATCATTGCGACTAGATCAGTTGTGTTGTTGTGATTAGAAGGGAATCAATGCCATTGCGATCGAGTCGATACGAAGATACTTGGAGCAAAGGAAAAGCGGTGGCTACTGTTCATGTGTTAAGATTCTTTTATGTATTCAAGATCAAAAACATTGATCGCAAAATAATCCTTTTGTGTGACACCATATTTCATGCTCATTATGTCCATGATTGGCATTTTTCACAAGTGTAGAAATTATTTTCAAGCAGTTCTATAGTGATATTCTTGGATTTTCTTGTTTCAAAGAAGGATATTTTTGTGTGGGATTGTGCTTCCAAGAACATGGATGGCAAGGCATGGGAAGAGTACCATGGGGATGATGGTGGTTTTTATGAATTGTTTAGGAAATGTGTTGATGGTGTCCAAGAGGAGTTTTTGGTGCATGATGGTTTTCTCAGCCATGAAAACAAACTCTGTATTCCAAAACATGTTGTTTGAAAGTTATTGAGGCAAGAAACACATGCTATTGGTTTAGCTCACAACTTTGGTATAACGAAGCCTTTGGAAATCTTGAAAGAGCATTTCTTTTGGTTCAAGATGATTTTGAAGATGGTGCGTTTGAATAGAGCTCCCAGGATGATTGTTTCAGTTCATGATTCTAAATTCTTAAAGTCTTTTTGGAATGCTTTATGGAGAAATTGGGGGGGGGGGAGCGGACTAAATTATTGGTTATCACTTTGTTGAAAAGGATGGTGGACAAACCACAAACAAATTGGGATGTGCAGTTGGTTCGTGTTGAATGTGCTTTCAAGATCGAATTTCCTAGAAATCATAAGGGCCTTCCGGAATTGAGGTTAATTCCTTTTGAAGAGGGAGGGTCTGATGCGAAGCTGGGAGGTGGTGCGAAAGTCACTTCACGTCTGATCCGTGTATGGAAGGCGATTCGGTTTTGTCTGCTGAATACAATCTAATTTGGACTATTGACGGTTGCTAACCGAGTTTCACTGTTGATGGTTGCAATTCATTGCGACTGGATGCGATCGATCGCAACTGATCACAATCGTTTTCACTTCATTGCGATGTTGTTCATTGCGAATAAGAGTTGAATGCGAACGCATGGTGGCTGGAATGTGAACGGAAGCTTGGATACGAAGGGTATGATTAGATGTGAAAATAAGCTTAGTTGGGAGAGGTTTCATTATGATAGGCGGTCTCGGGAGTTAGGATGCGAATGCGAGGTCAGAAGTCCAAAAGTCGCCTCGGGAAAGGGTCACACCTTGGAAGCTGAACAACCATGGTTGAAGTCATTTTCTTTATTATTTTATTTTTTTAAAAATAAATCGTAATGTTTTTAATAAAATCATTGATTGACATAGTTATTTAGTTGTCTTTTGGATTTCTTTTATCCGTTTCTTTGTAAGGCTATGTATAGCCATTTGGGTAGTCATTTGTAAGTTGTTATCGAATATATAAAACTTTGAACTTATGTTTATTCGAATTGTTGCGTAAGATTGAAATATGATATTGGTTTGGTCGCACCTTCTATTTTGATATTGAACTCAAAACCAATAAGTTTTGGTTTGTTTTCACTAAAGATTCAAACTATAGGTTTATGTTGAACTTCAAATCTATCATTTTTATTGCTTGTTCTTGTCGTTTGATTCAAGAGTTATTTTATTCCGTTACAAGAGTCGTGTTTGAGGTTCAAATAGCTATATATTTTCAAAACAAATATATATTAATTAGTATTTGTAGAATATATATTAAGATAAAAAATCATTAACTAAACTCTAATATAACTAAAATGCAACTTTCGCTGAGGAAAATTACTTAGCTAAAGGTACAATCAGTAAGGCACCATGTACAACTATATGAAACAAAACGTAAATTCAATTAGAAGTATAATACAAAATAACAAATTCTTATATACCCTTTCAAGCAATTATTTTTCTTTTTTGAGTGTCCAATGAATTCATAAAGGGTGTTTAACATTTGACAATTTTGTAGCCGATCCGTTTAACGGGAACGACCATCCAAGTTCAGACGAAACGACAACCATGGCGTCTGCTACTTCCGGCACCACATTAAATGCTTCACTGCTGCCTTGCTCAACGGTGGGGAGGTTAGGGCGTACATTAGCAACGACATCTGGTAGCAAGTCCTTCTCACTTTTATCTCTCTCCCCGGAGCTGGTCTACCGCTGTGGGCGGCGATGGAAGAATGTGACCGCAGCAAGAAAACTTATTGTTCGTGCTGCGAGAACCGAATCTAAGGGCGTTTCTCTTGGTTCCAGAGCTCCTAATTTTGAGGTATTATCTTGTAATTTCTTAATCCACTCATACGAGTATTAGATGCCTTAAGGCTTAATCATCAAAATTTCATGTTCGATTTTGGTAAACTTTATTTTGCGTTTACTTGATAAACTTGTTCAGCTGGAGGAGCCACTCACAGGGAATATGTGGACATTAGAGGACTTCGAATCTTATCCGGCATTACTGGTAAATGCAAGCTTTTACGAGGAATTCGTTTTTCGGAATGTTATAATTTATAAATCGCAATTTCTATGCTGCAAAACGATTTCATGGTGGATGCGTAGAAACTTTATGCTAACTGGAGATTTATGTATTTGATTATTAGTTTAAAACTTTAAAATAAATGATGTGTTTCGCAGGTTATGTTCATTTGCAATCATTGTCCATTTGTTAAGCACTTAAAAAAGGACATTGTGAAGCTTACGGATTTTTATACAAAGGTAGGCTGGTAGCTTATCCATTTTCTTGTCACTTGTATTTGTGACTAATCATTGTTTTCTGCTATGCTACAGAAAGGGCTCGGTGTAGTTGCAATATCATCGAACTCCGAAATTACTCACCCACAGGTTTGATTCAACTTAAAAGTATATCTAATAATGTTATGTTACTTCTTAATAATACTAAGAAAAATACAGAAGTCACCTAAATATTAAATTATCTAGTGATTAATTTTTATATTCTTTTATCATTTAAAAGAACCATTTTCTGAGTTACCCAATTTTGGAAAATGTTAACATACAAAAGAGTACAATTTCACTATTTTATGATTTCTACGCATCTCCACCGTTGATTTAAAAATTTTGTAGGATGGACCAATTTTCATGGCAGAGGATGCGAGACTTTTTAATTATCAATTCCCATACCTTTATGATCGTGTAAGCTTCTCTCAACCTCTATGCACTCCAACTCCAAGTTTAGAATACGTTTCTTTTCAAAAACAAAATATGATTCTTGAAAAGTCTATTTATTGGACAGGATAAGACTAGACAAGTTTTTTACTTTTATTTTTGATGATCAGGATCTTGAGGGCATTCACATCTTTTTTCACATCATGAACAATTGTTTTATATAATCTTTGCAGACACAAGATGTTGCAAGAGACTATGGCGCCGTTTGCACCCCGGAGTTTTACTTATTTAAAAAGGTACATCTTCTTTAATTATTATTAATGAATTTTTGATTTATAAAAAATAAAATATTAAACATAATAAAAGTTCACGAGATTATAATAAAAAGTATCTTCTTTATAGAAAATAAAACTCTAAGTTGATTAATATTTTAAATGTGTCATTTCATTACAGGATGGCCGGCGACCCTTTGAACTAGTATATCATGGTCAGTTTGACGACTCCCGGCCAAGCAACAATGTTCCTGTCACAGGAAGGTTTGTTCTACATCTCAATAAAACAAAAATTACATATATATATTTTTTTTCATACAAAAAGACATGAATGCCCTTCTCATTGTCATCATTGAAGATGGTGTTACTGACGTTTTCAGTTAAAATAAATAATATTGTGTGCTAGGGATTTGAGCTTGGCAATTGACCGTGTTCTTAGTGGTCAACCGATACCACCAAATCAGAAACCGAGGTACGTTACTCTTTTGAATTTTCTTTTAATTTGGTAAATTATAATATTTAATATTTGTAGTCTAACAAAATTATTTGTGTTTTGTATATTGGTTCAAAGTGTTGGATGTAGCATAAAGTGGCATCCTGCGGGAAAAGTATAAATGGAAATGTGGTTCACGCTTCGTCGTCGATTTACTATTTATAAGGTGTACGGTTTCAAATTTTTTTATGTAACTAGATGTGTATTCAAATGTTCAAAACATATGTATATGTTATTATGTACTTAATGGTATAGACCTCCACACTCATCTTCTTGCTGTTTTCGAATGAGGGATATTTTGGGAACAAAAACAAAGATAGATAGAAAAAATGTCATTCATGGGCATACTTTTTAGAGAAAGGTGTTTTCAATCATATTTTATCAAAATCTTCGTTAAGAACAACTTATAGTCTTGGTTACAACATATTTAGCATGAACTCGGGTTAAATGGTTCATTTGGCAATATTATAACTATAGATGTGAGTTGTCAATAGTATGGTGGTGAGATTTCTGGTTCAAATTTGGATGTCACATTCTTTTCTCTATGGATTATTTATTTATTTATCTCTTCTATGTTTGTTGTGGGACAACACAAAAGGTGTTTACACCTTTTTACTTCTTTCAGGAGCTTTGAAAAGGTATTACCTACCCAAGTGTTTGATTGATGGTTTCATGTCTAGTGGTGGATGAAAGGTGTAGTTTTAGGCGTCTCCTATAAAATGGGTATGTAAGTTAGCCGTCTAAACAAAGCCTTGTTTTCTTTTTTTCTCTTCTTGGTCGAATAATCAACTTCTCTATGTTTTTCGTGCGTTGGGCTAAGAGTAGGAGCCTAAGAATGATCTTAAGGTGTCAAAAGTTGCAATCTAGAAAAAAAATGTCTAGTAATACTAATCATCAAAACTAATAATAGAAAGAATTGTTTGTCATATGCTCGATATAACAAATGTCACATAAAAGATAATGGTTGAGAATGGTAATGATGTTGAACAATCTTGTAGTTGTCGTTAGGCTTGCAACATTAGCATCTCAGAACGGTTTTTTTTGTTTTGTTTTTTTTTTTTTTTTTTTCTTTTTGTTTTTAGACCTTTTTGGGAGTGATCTCGCAATAGGTCCAAACTTGGTCGTCTTTAGACTGTTGGTGGACTATCATTTTTTTGGAACGATGATATTTTATTAAGAAAATCTAGCAAGGAGCTAGGAAAACACAAATACAACTACATATTAGAAGAAGCTAAAACGAGTTATGCAACCGGTTAACCCACGAAAAGCTAGCATTTTTACATCTATTGGAGATCCAAAAGAAAGACCTACCAACAATCTCATCAAAAATAAGTGAAGTCCTAGAATCACGATGTTGGGTACATATTTTTATAAATATGATGATGTAAAGGATATAATACATTATAGTTATAGTTATACTGCTCATTGTAGACAATCAGTCTTGTCTAAACAAGTGTAAATAATACAACTTAGACAAGCTGATCTGTCAGAGTTTGTTTATTTGGTTATTTTGAAGATATGTTGATGTTTCTGAAGACTGATATTCAAGATTTATGTTATTGCTCTACCAAAAAATGAAGTTCATATGTTGAAGATTGAAGACCAGATTTGAGTTGCCTTAGCTGATCAGATCTAGAACATTTCTAAAGCCTCCGTTGAAGTTTTGGTACTACTGAAGAGTACCCCATGATGACCAAAAGACAATGAATGCATTATCAGCACCAAAGGCACTGAAAGTACAACAGGGAGAACCATCATTCAATGAACACTTGATCTGCTGGTACGGATGACTGATTAGTGTGTCCATACGCTGAAGTTATTACATTATTGACACATTGATGATATGATATGCTGATGACCAGATACACTGATGGTTATACACCATCTGCTGAAGCTGAAGTTGATCAACGGATGGCTCCCTGATGTTGATGCCCATGACTAACGTATATCGTGCTGGTGCTGATGTCCAAATCTGGAGCATAACATAATTACTCGGTGAAGAAGTATTCTGAAGATCTGATCTGATCTATACCTTAAATACCAAATCTGCTTTTATCTTAGAAGATTCAATCCTATCAAATCAAGGATTTGATTTAAATGGAAGATCTAGAGAATCAATTGAATTCTTAGTTGTTTCATTTGGAACATCTTCTTCATCATTATCACTATTAGTTTGACTATCTTCGACAATCACACGGTCATAGTCATGAACTTTCGATGTTAAGGGTTGGTCAGTGTTAACCTTAACCAATGAATCATCACAAATTTCTTTACCATTGTTTATCGAAGTGACATTAATGACAGATAACTGAGAATAAACAACAACTTCCTCCGTCTCAATTTCACTGATATTGTCCGAATCATCTTCGATATCAACAAAATTGTGTTGAAAGTCAGATGTTGAATTCTCAGTATTTTTCAAAATTTTTATTTGTTCAGTCTTGGTCAAGGTCTCATTCACAATGTGTACCAAATCATTAACATCTAAACATTTATCTATCTTAACAATACCATATGCATACGAATCATTTGGGACATTGTCAAATTCAGAAATCTTTTTCTCATAATCATAGGATGTCGAATCTATTTTCTCCCTTTCGAATACCAAGAAGGGCAATAGTTTTCTATGTTGTTCCTTACTAATGTCAGAAGAGTGATGTAAATCTGTTAGTTTAGCATACAATCTTTAAGCTATACTGCAATAAATGTTACATTGTTTCATCAAAATACAATTATCCAATTTAACATGATCCCTATCATTTGTAATATTTTTCAGTTACAACTCAAGACTGTCTACTCTACTTCTCTTGGCCTCCAATCTTTTCATATTGATTTTAATTTCTCAGCATCACTACTAACATAAATAAGCATGCATTAACGTAAGATAGAGTATCATCGAAGTCAGATAAAATAACATCATATGAATTGAAAGGAATATCAAAGGATTCAAGAAGAGAACGTACCTTCAAATTCATTGGAGACTTGTCTACTCCTGTTGAAACGAAACATTTCCCAGTCACCTTCTCCTCATCCTGATCCCCTTTTCATACCTTGCATACATAGCTCCATGTGTGGGGTTCCTCATATCTTCGTCATCTGATCCAGATGACCGTATTTGATAAGTGCCATCCCCATTACCACTTCCATTTGCTACAAGCGATATCCCTTTCGTCCTTGCTCTCACTTCCTCTAGTCTTTTGACATAATAGGCTTCATCATTCACTATATCTCTCTTCTCCTCTCTTTTTTCTTAACATACAGTCAATTGCCAAAGGGTTTGCATCATTACTATAGTTGCAATCAAAACCAGAGTCTCCTTTCAATTTCTTTTCCACCTTCTCACCAGTAACCTTAACCTCTTTCTTCTTAACCTTTGTATCTTCTCTAACATTCTTCGCAGATGATGAGTTCCTTTTGAAATCACTATTTCCTTTGAACTTCAGATTGAATGGATTTTTGAAGAACTTCTTGACTTTGTTATTCAAGTAGTATGCCACAACTTCATTTTCCGAATTCATGAGAAAACCCTCATCAACAGAACCATCAATCTCTGCATATTCGACTTCAGACTCTCTACTTGACACCTTCGAAATCAATGCAAGAGGACCTCCCAAATTGATTTTTTCCTTCTTCAGCTATTTCGTTGATCTCGCTTTCATGAGCCTTTAGAACACTATAGAGATCGTCTAGCGAATAGTTGTCGAAGCTTTGTTGAGTCTTGATCATCAAAATAATGTTCCTCCACTCTTTTCAAAGCCCCATTAAGAAAGTAAGATTGTACTCAAGAGTCGAACTATTAACCCCATTACGATTGCATTTGAAGATTAATTCATTTAGATGATCATATTACAGTTCAATGGTCTAATTTTCCTTTTGTTTGAATTCACCAAATTCAAGCAAACACTGATTCACTAAACTTTTTCTTGTCTTCTCACTTCCCTGATACTTCTCTTTCAAAGTATCCTAGATCTCCTTTTCTGTTTTACAACCACGAACATAATTGTAGACCACCGGTTGAAGAGCACCGCGAAGTTCACCCAATCATTTCTTGTCATTCTCCTCTTGTTTGTCTGCTTGAAGAACACCATCAACAATCAAACCAATAGTTCCAGTCTATTCTAGCCTCCCTGGACGATAGTTTCCACTTTTAATGTAGAGCCATAGATCTTCATAGATCCTATTGAGATTATCTTCCATTCTATCAACCCACTGCTCGTAATATTCAACAATCAACATCAGAATTTTGGTTGAAGAACCAAAAAGATGAGAAAAACCAGTGATCGTGTTCATGTTGAAGTTTTCCATTAACGTACAAAAAAAAGTGATGAAAAGCTTCATAAAGAAGAATCTATTGAATGAATATTTTAGAAAACAATCAACGAACACTCCATTTATCAGACGAAAAGCAGAATCAAATCAAAATAGTTGATCAGAAAAGATATTCTAGATCAAAAGTGCAGAATATTTTTGAATCTAAAACAACGACTCAATAACTTTTGAAACTCTGAGAAAATCAGAAATCCACTAAAAGAATCCTGCTCTGATATCAAATGTATTTCGTATAAATTGAGTGAATGAAATGCAAATCAGAGTATGAATTGAATCAAGAACACAAAAAGTAAACAAAATCTGTTTGACTCGATTACTACTTCTAAAAGTATACAAGTGAATGAAAGAGTAAAGTACACCAAGTGCCAAAAGTTACTCTAACCCTTATATTTATCCATATTTATAGGTTCACTAGAATGTACATAAGGGATAAGACTTGAATACTTCGAACTCAAAAAATGCCCTTATGAAATACATACAACGAATACATAAAAAATTGACTTCGATACTAAACATGACAAAAGACGCTTCAACATCTCACAACACATTTCGAACTCTACACATTTCCATAGTCAAGTGACGAGGCTGGTCCATTTGGGACAAAATAGGGTCAAGACGAGGATGATGATTTGCGATATGTTTATCCTTTTTATTTTTAGTGTGCTTGGTATTTTTTTAGACCTTTGGCATGTAAGGTTTATTTTGTATGATGCTATTAATACTTTTATGTGCTTTTACATATGTCTTTGTATTATAATCTTATTTCCTATATTTCCAAGTGCTTTAGTCTATCAGCTACCGAATCCATATTTAGTTGTGTATTGATCTAACCATAATTAAAGACAGGTAATTAGTCTACGTTTAGTAGTGCTTCGGCCCATCCACATTAATTAGTTAAGTTATTTGACTCAAAACCTTGTGTTATATTTTCCTTGAGAGATTGAATTTATATGCTACTTATGTTTGTAGGTTATGGAATATACCTAGCCTTAGAGTGTACGCCCTAGGCTACAGTCGTAATTTCCTTAGAAAGTACTAGTTCGCTATTACCAATAATTCTGATACAATCTGTCATACCCTGATTGGCGGCTGAAATATCGGGA